GCAGGAGCATGTGTACTGTGGAGTGGGGAGGGTAGTGTGGGCATGGGAGGAATGGTACAGGGGCAGGAGCATGTGTACTGTGGGGTGGGGAGAGTAGCGTGGGCACGGGGATGGTGGGGAGGGGACAGAAGCTGGAGATGGGGGAACAACATGGTGGGGGAACATGGACAGTGGGAGTCACGTAGGGAGCAGGGACTCACTGCACTGGATGGATGAAAGCTTGGAGGTGAAGGGTGCGGCAATGCTGGCGTCCCCCAACTTCACAATGGGCATACTCTCATCCTCAAGGTCCCGCAGAACCTGGCTCAGGCGATCCTGCAGTGGGTGGAGGGGGCACCTATGAGACTGTAGTTGGGGGGGGAGGGACTCATAGCCCCCACTCTTGAGGAAACTCACCCGCTGGGAGGCTGCCTGTTCCTCTGGGGACAGGAGCCCCGCCCTCTGTCTGGACGACCGTGAAGGGCCTCTGGAACCACTGCTCAAAACAGGGCCATCCCGGGGGGGCCGCCGCCGCCGCTCAACCACCCGTTCAGGGGCATTGGCCAGGAGCGCCACACCTGGAAGGGGGAATGTGTCAGAAGCCAGGTCCCCTGCCTCCCCTTCCCACTGGGTGTTCCCACAAGGCCCGCAGTCCAGGGCTCACCCACGTCAGCATGCTTCAGGGCACCCACATCATTGGTGCCATCCCCACACATGAGTGTCACGTAGCCCAACTCCTTCAGACTGGTGACGACAAACTCCTATGGACGTGGAAGGTCAGGTCACAGGGGTTGACTGAGTTAGGGCTGGCATGCCTGGCTGCCTCAGGTCCCCATGTCACTCACCTTCTGCTTGGGGGCCACACGGGCAAACACCTGCACATGAGGGATGAGGCACAGCAGCTGCTGGGGGTCTGTGGTCTGCAGGTGGGCTAAGCTATCGCCAGTGAGGCACAGTGCGTGCTCCAGGGCCAGCATCTTGGGGGAGCCCTTGGCCAGTGGCAGTACGATGCTGCCATCAATGGAACGCCACTCGCATGGCTGCCCTGTGGATCAGGGTAAGGTGACTGAGACAAGGGCCTTGAGTCAGGAGCAGGACTGAGGTGGACATTTCAGAGCTTCTAGGCTCCACCTAGCCACATGAGCTCAGGGCTGTGGCCAGCATCCCAGGCCCTGCCCTAAGGGTATGCAGCTCTGGTAGTGTAGGGGTTACTAGCCAGGCTGCTAACCTCAAGGTCAGCAATTCGAAACTACCGCTGTTTTGTGGGAGAAAGATGGGGCTCTCTGTTCCTGTAAAGATTTACAGCCTTGGAAACATTACGCAGAGTCTCTATGAGTCAGAACCGACTCAACACACCACCACCACCGCTTTAAATGTTGTCCCACGGGGTCCTCAGCCACCCATCTAGCAGGGTGCTCTGGGGTATACATGCTCTGTAGTGGACACTGGGGTCAGGGAGTGGGCACCTTCCCCATCACACTCAGCGCTTGCTCACCCCTTTCGGTGGGCGGCTGCAGGATCAGTGTGTGCGCCTTGTCAATGAAGTGCAGTTCCTGTGCCACGTGACAGGCTGTGAGGGGATTGTCGCCTGTGATCATGACCACCTGAGGGGGAGGAGGTGGGAGAGGCTCAGCAGGGCATGGCAGGGGGCTGAGAACACCCAAACTGGGAGCTGCTGTTGGCCTTCTTCCCACCATAAGATGGAGCGCATAGCCCACCAGCCCACCTGCCTGGGGAGGGGCTCAGCAAGCCTGAGGAGGAACTGGCGGCCATACCCGGTGGGACGCACTCTGGATCTCACGGATCACAGCCTTGGAGTCGGCTTTGAGTGGGCAGGAAACCACAAAGAAGCCGACGAACCTGAGGTTGCACTCGAGCACCTCCCGCTTGACTTCCCGAGCCTGTGGGTGGATAAGAAGCCTTATGACCCAACCCCCAACCTCAGCATGCAGCTGTGGGTACTCAGCAGGGCCTGGGCAGTCCTGGTCCCCTACTCAGCCCACCTTCCTCATTAGCATGCCCTTACCCTGCACTCTATGGCCCTACCCTCATGGAGTGCCACAAGCTACTAGTGGGGATGTGGGCCGAAAGGCCACAGAAACAAGAGTGGCAAGCGCAAGAGAAAAAGGATGAATCGAAAGAGATGAGGCAGGTTGGAGGGAGAATCACTAGGGGGCCTGGGGACCTTGGAGTTGGCAAGGTTAGCCTGTGCCCCTGGGGAGCAGAGTCTCTAGGAATGGGAGTGGCGTGTACAAAGGTCCTGAAGCAGAACCATGCCTGGTATGTTGTGAACAGGAAGGGACAAGTGAAACAACAGGGACAGAGGGGCCATGAGGCCTGAGTGGGGGACCATGGGGACTCTGCATACTGGGGCACGGCCAGCTGTATGATCTTGAGCGATCCCTCGACTGCTGGATGCACAGACAGGGAAACATGCAGGCAGGGAATGCTGGGAGGGGAAGAGGTACTCTGACAGCTGGCGGGATTTGTGTGGGGTGAGACTGCAAGGTGAAGATGGGAAATACTAAGGCCTTGGGGGAGCAAGGATATGGCAGGAGAGAGGGCTGGTTTGCTAGACACACTTGTGTGGAGCACCCCATGATGTAAGATCAGCCCCATAGGGGTGCAGAGAGAGGGGAGACCACATGCTGGGCACAGGGTAGGTGGGTGAGTAGAGTTGATAGGTGGCCACAGTAGGCCCTGGGCCCTACCTGTTGGTGAGTGAGGTGTCCCAGTTCCTTGTACCCCAGTGCCAACACACGGGCCCCTTCCCGAGAGATCTCAGTGTGGATATGGTGGTAGTCAGGTGGGCACTGGGCAAACTGCAGGGAATGTTAAATTGGTATCACCAAGTGCCCAACTGCCTGCCGCCCCCCAGTCCCACCCCTCCAACCAAGGCCAGCTTACCATGGAGTGCAGGGTTTCTGGGGCCCCCTTCACGGCTGCAATGTAGCAGAGGTCGGTGGAGCCGAGCTTCTCGTAGGAGGCGAGCACGGACATTCGCTTTAGGGCACTGGCAAAATGAAAGCGCTGGTGAATTTTCAGCCCCTGAGTTTTAATACTTCGGGGAAATACTTTCTCATCTGGAAACAAATAAGTAGGTGTCCTGAGGGGCTTTGCTCCACGGAAGCAGCCAAGCCCCAGCCTCTCCCAGCCATCATCCCTACCCCAGCGCCCAGGGGCTGCAAGGGGTCAGGGTGGGCAGGGATCCACCAGACACAGTGTGTGAACAGCTCAGTCTGGGGCAGAGTGGCAGAGCTCGGGGCCCAGCTCACCCTTCGTTAGCGTCCAGTCCACAGACGTCAGCATGGCCTTCTCAAGGGGGTCGCCAACCAGCGTACCATCGTCGAGCTGCACGAGGGAGTGGCATGAGGCAAGGGCCCGGTGGGTTTCTACGGGGATATTGGACACGGGGGTCACCTCCTTCCCATCCCTGCAAGGACGGGAGACAGCAGGTTGAGGGCAGAGGAGCCGGGTAGAGCTGACCCACTGCCCTGGGAGCAGCACAAGGCTGACCCGCTTCCCCAGGAGAGGTTGTTGGCAGCCGGCCCCTGCAATCACGGAGGCCCTGGAGCTCCTCAGTCACCCTGGAACCCAGTCCGCCATCCACATCCTTGCCCGCCAAGAACCACCAGGGGGCTGTGGGCACCGCCCTGACCTTGAGTTGGAACTCTCGGGTCTGGCAGATGTTTGTTTCAAACCCTCCCTGGATGCTGTGTGGGGCCTTGCTGCCCGATGCTCACCGGAGCCCAGCCACGCCGCGTACTACCAGGCTGTCGCTGGTCAGGGTACCCGTCTTGTCAAAGCAACACACCTCGACTTTGCCAGCGAAGGGGATCCGGAAGGGCTCTGTGCAGTACATGTCTAGGGGGTAGAGCAGGTCAGGGTCACGCTGCCCCCCAACCCCCTCCCGGTCCCCTTCCTGGCCCAGCACGCACAAAGCTTGGCTAGGGCGATGAGGGAGGTGTTGACAGCCAGCGACAGCTCGATGGGCAGCTCAGGGGGCACAACAGAGGTGAGGATCAGGGTGCACTCCAGAAACAGCTTGTAGCGGTTCCGGCTGGGGTCCTTGGTGCCTGTGGAAACAGGGGCTACAGCCTGGGTAGGGGTGAGGGTGGGTGGGGTCCAGCAGGCCACAGTACTCACCTTCAATCCACACGTAGGCAGCTGCCGCAATGGCAAAGACCAGGAGGAAGAGGATGAAGATGAAGGTCTCCAGATTGTTAGCAGTCACCCTCTTGACCCCAAAGAGGATCGTCCGTAATAGCCTGCCCTGGGGGTATGGACAGACAGGCCTTTCCTAGGGGGTTTAACCTTCTCCCCAGAGGCAGAGTTCCCTCCTCCAGCTATGCCTTTGCCTTCCTGAAATCCAATGATGTCCTTTGCATTCCCACAAACCCCATACATCAGTGACACCCCTTTGATAGTGACCCTCACCTGGGAAGTGTTGAATCCAGTCCTAAGGACAAAGGCCACGCATCCATTGTCAACAGCTGTGGGGATAGGCAGAGTCATGGTTACAGGCAGATGCAAAGGGAGGGAGAGAGTGTGGTCAGGATACAAGAGACCCCAGGCACCTACGCTTCAGGCCCGTGGTAGCCTTTTGGGGAGGTATGTGTTGCACCACCTTGGTGCCCCCAAAGATGACATGTAGTCGGGAGTCAGCCTGGAGGTCCAGCACCCGCTGGGGATCAAGGTCCTCGATTGGCTCCTAGGAAAGGGTGGAGAAGACAGGTACACTGAATCTCTGCAGAGCTGAACTGGGACCAGGTATCCAGATGGGTCCCTGCCTCCACATGCCACCCAACTTCTCCCAGAATTCACCCAAAGACTGAGGTCCCAGCTCCCTGCCTATTCAACTTCCCTAGGTGCCCAGCACCGTGAAGCCCTCCATCTCCCCCCAGCCACACCTTCATCTGAGGCACTGACTCCCCCGTGAGCATGGCCTCGTCCACAATGCAACGGCCTCGCAGCAATAGCACATCACATGGCACCAGGTTCTCCTGAGGGGAGCGGCCTGTGGGGGAGAAGGGAGGGATAAACTGAGAACTGTCCACAGGAGCTTGCCTTGGAAGAAGATGGGGACTCCCCCAGGTGCAGTGGGGTCACCTCACCAATGGAGACAATGTCGCCAGGGACCACCTCATCACTGGCCACAGGCCTCCACTTGCGGCTCCGATAGACCTGGGAAGGTGAGGGAGGAGGATAAAGCAAGCACCAGGGCACCTGACCCACACCTGCAGCCACCTTGCCCATGGCGGCACCTGAATCATGTGCGGCTTGTTGCCCATCTTGCGGATCTCTGACATGTTACGCATCTGCTGTTGCACCAGGGAGGCCTCGAATGCCACCAACATGGACAGCGTGAAGACACTGTAGTACCAGTATTCATCCAGGCACCAGAGCCCCACGCACAGCACCTGGGGGAATGGTCTAGCCTGTCACCCTGTCCATGAGGATCCCCCACAGGAGACAGAGAGGGCTGCTTGCCCAGGGTGTGATGTTAGGGTTTGTGGGGTACACAGAAGAGAGAGGGGCCGGAGCTGTGCGATACCTGGAACACGAAGAAGGGGGCTGTGGCCCTCTCCTTGAAGAGCTCTGAGAAGTCCGGCACCACCATCTCAGCCCTGTGGAAGGTCAGACCATCTGCTCACAGTGTTGGGGGAAGGGGGTGCCTAGCAAAGAGCCATGTGGGGGAGCTGGTGGCTGGTGGCCATCCAGTGGGACCTCACACCTCACTGTCCCTTCATGTCTACAACTGACAGCCCTCAGCACCCAGTCCTGCCGAATCCAGATAGACGCTCCTGGACCCCACCCCCAACCGGGCAGAGCTGGTGGATGAGCTCCTCTGCTGTCTGTCAGTGACACAGGTGACAATGAGAACCAAGGCTCCAGAGAAGTGGCACTGCAGTAAAGAACCCCAGCTGTCCTCAGAGTCCTCAGGGGGCCCAAACACAAGGGTCTGAGCCCCACATTCCCTCTAGAAAGAGGTCTGGAGCCAGGTTATCTAAAAAACTTTCCCAGTAAAAGTCTCAATGCATGCAGAGACAGGCTGGGGTGGGGGTGAGGGTGGGGCAGGTGCTTTCTGTCTAGACAACTTGAGACAAGAATGTGAGTAAAAGGAATTGGGATCATGATCCCCATCCCACTTCAAGCTGCGGAGGGGACATGGGCACTAGACACAATAGCATGCCCACAAGAGTATGAAGAGTGACCGATTAGGGAAACGCTCCCAGGAGGTTCTGAGGACGGCTGCCGGGTTGCAGGCCTGGCCCCTCCCCACCACACCAGCTCTGCGGTTTGTGAAGGCTTAAGGAGGAGCCCAGAGTTCCATTCTAACCAGGGCACCATTAGAGCATAATGAATGGAGTGGCATCGTCACCGGCACCTTTCTCCATGGTGACTCCCAAAGTGCCAAGGTGTCCATGAAGGGACAGTAGACTCTTTTAAGTTAAAGAATTTAGAACTAGGGAAGAATGCATAGGCCCAAACAAGGATAGAAGGCACTTTCACAGTGGCACATGCTCAGTCCAGCTCCCCTTGAAGAATCTTATTGGCAACAGGTCCCCCAGAGCTGAGATGTTATGAAAAAGACAGAACCCTTCACCACACTTCCCCAGACACCCTGACTCGGAACTGAGGGGGCGGGGACAGAAGGCGGAGGGAACTCACTTGTTGCTCCCATACTTCTTCTCGGCTAAGCGGATCTCGGCATCCTCCTGGAAGCCCCTGTTGCCCTGGTAGTATGAGAAAGCATTCCCCACTGGGAAAGCCACAGGAAGGAACTGCTTCTTCTCCAAGGCATCATAGGAATACTTGATTTTCTGAAACTCGAAGGATAGCACTTCTTGTCCATCTTCGTCCTGTGGTGAAAGTACAGTGTGGCCGAGGTCCCCGGTCTGGGGTCAGTGCCAGGTTCCACTCACCACACCCTGGTCCCGGGGGACCTACCTTGTCCCGGTGCAAGGCCACAAGCTCAGTGGAGCCATTGTTGGGGGTTGGCACTACCTTTACAAGCGTAGCTTTGCTGGGGTTGTACTCCTGTTGAGGGGTGGGGGACAGAGGACTTCAGTCAGCACTTCCCAACAGCCCCTTGACCGCTGGGGAATGTGTTGTGGGGCTATAGTTCCCTGGGAAGTGAGGTGTACAGAAGAACGAGTGCTGGTATACAGCAGGCCACTCATCCCAGCCTACCCGGCCCTCTAGAAGTGTGCCCCTCACCTGCAGAGGCCGCTGCAGACCCATCCAACTGAGCGAGGGGACTCACTTACTCGTCCCATGCTGTGTGGGGGACATGGGAGTAACTTCGAGAACAAGTCCTTTCCTTGGGGAGTCCAAAGGTCACAGTGACAAGAAGTGAAGACAGACAAAGCTACATGCTCTGGTATAAGGTGCTGTTCTGTGCCAGCCTGTGCCAAGGCTTTGCAGATGTCACCTTAGTGTCTGTTCATGGTGGCACCCAAGGGAGATGTTAGGGTTCTCATTTTACAGACAAGGAAACTGAACCTGTCTGAGATGTTCTAGTTTACTCTCCTGACCCCACAGTGAGCTCAATCCAGGAGAAAAAGGTAAGTTGCACTTTCCAGGTCAAAAGGCAGCTAGCTACAAGTTTGGGGATGGGGTGGCATACTTCCCGGCCCAACTCCTTTGTTGCTCTTGTCCCCTACTAGGGTTGTCTTCCACTGCACCCACTTAAAGCCACCAAGACCAGAAATGTGAACCTCTCCCTGGGGATGAGACTTGTCAGAAAGGCACTGTCTGCCTGTCTACAGGTCTCCATCCCTCCCCTCATCTCCCAGCATACTTCATTGCAGGAATGAGGGCAAAGGTGGTTGTTGTTGTTATGTGCCGTGAAGTCGGTTCCGACTCACAGCGACCCTGTACAGGGTTTCCGAGGCTGTAAATCTTTACAGGAGCAGAAAGCCTCATCTTTCTCCTGTGGAACAGCTGGTAGTTTCGAAATGCTGACCTCGTGGTTCCCAGCTTGATTCATAATCACTATGCTACCAGAGCTCCTTAGGGCAAAGGCAGGGGCCTTGAAAGAAAAGCTCCCTCAGAGACAGGGCTAAAAGCCCATGGCACTAAGCTTGCTGGTGTCACTTGAGGTAGGACCAGATGGCAGAAACACAGTCACCCTGGGTAGCTCAAGGTGGCTATCGATTGTCTCACAGAGGAGAATGGCAGCGAACTCAAGTCGCTCCTGTTAAAACACTGCGGTTACCTAGCTCCGTGTTCAATTTGTTTGGACGATGGGGAGGCTTCTCAGCATTACCGTTCGGCTTTCTGACCAAGTGTCACCCACGTCCACCTTAGGCAAACTGCGACACCGCCCCACATGTCCTGCCTCGCACTCTGAAAACCAAGGTGGGAGAGAGCAAGAAGGCAGACCTGTCTCCTGGAGAACAAGTGAGTTGCCCGCTAAAACCGAGAGCTGGCACTAACAAATCCTACCAAACAGCGAGGTGCACCAGGGGCTCGTGCTAAACTGGACTACAGGGATTATTTAACTGAGAACTCCAGAGAGAATGCAACCTGCGCCGGGGTCGCACTGTAAGTCAGGCATGAATGAGATCCGAGCGAAAAGAAGAGGATCCCGTGCTGAGGTCCTGGCCGAGCAAAGGAGAGCGCAGCGAGCGCTGAGACCCGCTGCTATGAGGCACAGTGCAAGGGTCGAGCTCGTGCACGCTCGCTTACCGGAATGCAGGTGAGCGCGCAATGCGCGTGCACGGACCAGTGTCCCGAGAGAATGGTGAGCGCGTGAGCGAGGCAGATGGTGGCAAACACGAGCAACGCGGCCTCAGGCATCTGCGTCCAGCTGCTGTCCCAGCCCCAGCAGCCGGTGGCCGCGGCGACCAGCCAGGCCGGGTAGAGCAGCCCGACAAACGGCAGCACCGTGAAGCGCCTCAGCAGCGCCAGCCTCCGGTACGGCCACACACCAGCAACCAGCTCGTCACCGCTCACTACGAGCGCTGGCCCCGCAGCAAGGAGCGCGCGCGGCTGCGGCCTGGACTTGGGCTGCCGGCCGGGGCGGGCACCGCAAGACACCGCGTTGCCCAACGCCGCCGCCATTTTCCTCCGCGCCGCGCTCGCTTCCGGGAGGAGGCACCGCCTCATTTCCTAGTTGCACTTCCGGTGACCCGTGGGCACCGCCATGGTGGCCGGGACTGGGCTGAACTAGGGAAGCATAGGAGTTGGCCCCGGAAGTGGCTCCTGTGCATCGCCATGACTGATAGTAGCGGAATGAGAATCAAGGCTCCCCCAAGACAGAGAGGGCCTTAGAGAGGGCCTGAGAGGCCTCACGCTGCCCGCTGGCGATGCTATACCAGGCCGAGACCGGAAAAGTCCAGCAGGACGGGCTGTGAGCCACCATGAAAACCCATAACGGAAAAGGCGGGCCGCTCGCGTTGTGAGGGGCGGGGCCTGTAAGCCCCTATTCCTGCAGGAGTAGGGTCTGGACCCAGGGGAGGCGGAGCCTGCCTGGGAAGTGCTGGCGCTTGAGGGGGAGAGGTGTATGAGGGGCTGGAGGGGGTCTTGGGTGGGTCTTATTTTCATCATAAATTTACAGAATAAATTGTGATTTGGGTGAAGGCTTACAGAATAAATCAGCCAACAATTCATATATATTTTGTCTTATGCCAATGATTACCATCCCCATAGTGTAACTGCTTCCTCTCTTTCGTGCTTTTCATTTCCATCTGTACTTTTCTATCTCTTCCTGCCTTTTGAACGTTGAGCTAATGTTGCCCTTTTGATCTCGGATGATTGATTATTGTAATGAATGCATAACTCTCTGTGCTATTGTTCACACAATAGACCTGTCCATTGCTTGGCTGGGGAGAATGGCATCTCTGTATGACTGGGGTTTAAACCCACTAGCCATTCAGCAGAAGAAAGATGAGGCTTTCTGTTCCCATCTCAGAAAGCCTATACAGCGTCACCATGAGTCGGAAGCAACTCCACAGATCTTAACAACAACTGTTTGGCAGGAAGTATATGATTTTGAGTTTAGTTCCACCATTTACTCCTACTCGATCCAGGCCCTTTTAATGTGGCCCATTTAAGAGCAGTGGGTAGTGTTAGCTTGGCACCATCTAGTTCTAGTCTCTGAAAGGCCTAAGTTCCGGTGGTCCATTAGTCCTTTGAATTAATTGCCTTTGGGTGTTTTTGGTGTTCTCCATTGTCTTTGCTTCCTACAAGGAATGACCAATAGTTACACCTTAGATGGCCACTCAAGAGCTTTTAAAACTCCATTCACTGCTCACCAAAATAGAATGGAAGGCATTTTATTTGTGGACTTGTTGTAGTTGTTGGGATCCAATGAGTCAGTCCTGCACCAACCTCACAATTATTATGTTTTAGTGCATTGCTTTTGCTACTGTGCCAATCCATCTTTTAAGGGGCCTTCCTCTTCTCTGACCTTCCACTTTACCAAGCATGATGTTCTTCTCCAGGGACTTGTCTCTCTTGATAATATGTCTGAAGTATGAGAAACAAAGTCTGGCTATCCTGGCTTCCAAGGAGCATTCTGGCTGTACTTCTTCCAACACAGATTGGTTTGTTCTTTTGGCAGTCCATGGTACTTTTGATATTCTCCAACACCATAACTCAAATGCATCAAATCTTCTACATACTCCCTTATTCACTGTCCAAATTTCACATGCATATGTAGTTGTTGTTGTTAAGTGCTGCGGCATCGGTTCAGACTCAACGACCCTGTATAGGGTTTCCAGGGCTGTAAATCTTTACCGGAGCAGAAAGCCTCATCTTTCTCCCTTGGTACAGTAGCTGGTAGTTTCTAACTGCTGACCTTGTAGTTTGCAGCCCGACTCATAATCACTATGCTATCAGAGCTCTTTTCATGCATATGAGGCTATTAAAAATATCATAGATTAAAAAAAAAAAGAAAAAATCATGGCTTCGGTCAGCGCCCTTAGTCCCCAAACTGACATCTTCACTTTTCACCACATTAAAGAGGTCTTGTTCAGCAGATCTGCCCAATGCAATACGTCATTTGATTTCTTGACTGCTGCTTCCCTGAGTGTTGATGGTTGATCTGAGCAAAATGAAGTCTTTGACAACTTCAATCTTTTCTCCATTTATCTTGGTGTTATTTATTGGTCCAATGGTGAGGATTTTTATCTTCTTTACATTGAGGTGCAGCCCATACCAAAGGCTTTGATCTTCATCCAGGTCCTCTTTGCTGTCAGCAAACAAAGTTGTATTTGCATACTGCAAGTTAGTCTTCCTCCAATCCTGATGCCATGTTTTTCTTCATATAACCCACCTTCTTAAATTATTTTCTCAGTATACATATTAAGTAAGTATGGTGAAGGAATATAAGAACTGGACAGGTATTGGCCATTTTGAAGTTGACAATCACATGGTTTACTATGCTTGGAATGACAAATTGAAGAGGAATAGCATCACATTCACCATCAAAAAGAACATTTCAAGGTTCATCTTGAAGTACAACACTGTGATAGGATAGAAGCCATATGCCTACAAGGAAAATAAGTTAATACAACTATTACTCAAATTTACGCACCAGCCACTAAAGTCAGTGATGACAAAATTGAAGAATTCTACCAGCCTTGTGGTCTGAAATTGATCAAACATGCATCAAGATCTATTGATAATTACTGGAAATTAGAATGCAAATATTTGAAACAGAGGAAGGATCAATAGCTGGAAAATATTATCAGTTAGAACAAGGCCAGGCACCAACTGAAGAAGAAACCAATGGTTTCTCATATGCAAGTTCAGGCTAAAGCTGAAGACAATTAAAACAAGTCCACGAGACCTTAGCTATGATCACCTGAATTTAGAGACCATCTCAAGAGTAGGTTTGACACATTGAACACAAATGACCAAAGACCAGATGAGTTTTGGAATGTCATCAAAGAGCCATCTATAAAGAAAGCAAAAGTTCATTAAATGACAGGAAAGAAAGAAAAAACAAAAATGGATGTCAGAAGAGACTCTGAAACTTGTTTTCTTTATTGTGAATTGAGTGAAGGTTTACAAAGCAGATCAGTTTTACATTCAACAAATCATGTACTTTGCTTCATTCCATGGTTGCAATCCCTTCCATGCACCAACAGTTAATAGCACTTACATCTATTCACTTTAACCACTGCATTTTTCCCTGTGTCTCCCATCATCCCCATCTTTCCTCTGCCAACCTCCCTCCAGTTGTATATTGCCTGCCCTGTCATCCATGAATCATTTCCTCCTCCTCCCCAAACCATCAGGTTGTGAAACTTGCTTTTGAACATAGAGTAGCTAACTCAAAACGAAGAAGTGATAAAGTTAAAGAGCTAAACAGAAGATATCAAAGGGTGGCTGAAGAAGGCAAAGTATTATAATAAAAAGTGCAAAGACCTTATATTAGAAAACCAAAAGGGAAGAACGCACTTAGCATTACTCAAGCTAAAAGAACTGAAGAAAAACTTCAATCCACAAGTTTCAATATTGAAACAACCAAAGGACACATTCTGGAAGCCACCCTCCGGGCCACCAGCACACAGCCTTTCTCTTTCCATGAGTCTAGAGTCTTCAGCAGCTCAATCTCTCCATGCCATCACCTCTGCTTCCATCTCTGGTGTTGCTGCTTCTCTGGTTATGATCCCATATTCCACTCATGCTCTTCTCTCTTGATGGTCTTAGGGCCCTCTGTTTCTGAACTGTAAAATGAAGTAATCCCACCTTTGTGATACACAACTTCTACCATTACAGTTTGAAACTAAACTCCCCTTTCCAGCTTTTACAGATGGAGACCATATATATATAGTCTTCAGTATGGATTATAACTCAATGTAAAGAAAACAGAAATCCTTACAACTGGATAAATAAACAACAACATGGTAAATGCAGAAGGATTTAAGTATACTTGGATCCACAATCAACTCTCATGAAAGCAGCTGTCTGGAAATAAAATGACTTAGTGCACTGGGAAAATCTAATGAAAAAAGACCTCTTCATAGTATTAAAGAGCAAAGATGTTACTTTGAGGACTAAGGTGCACCTGACCAAAGCCATGGTATTTTCAGTTTCCTAGTATGCATGAAAAGCTGGACAATGAATAAGGAAAATCAGAAAAGAATTGATGCCTTTGAATTATGGTGTTGGCAAAGAATATTGAATATACCATGGACTGTCAAAAGTATGAACAAATCTGTCTTGGAAGAAGTACAGCTAGAATGCTCTTTAAAAGCAAGGATGGTGAGACTTTGTGTCTCACCTATTTTGGACACATTATCAGGTTGGAACAGTCCCTGGAGAGGGACATCATGCTTGGTAAAGTAGAGATTTGAGACAACACAGTAGTTGCCAACAGTGGGCTTAAATATAGCAATGATTTTTATGACGGTGCAGGAGTGAGCAGTATTTCATGTCTGTTGTTTGTTGTTGTTAAGTGCCATTGAGTTGGTTCCTACCCTGTATAGGGTTTCCAAGGAGCAGCTGGTGAGCTTGAACTGCTGACCTTGCAGTTCAAACGACTTTGCAGTCTGGCGCATTAACCCACAGTGCCACACCAGTACTCCTGTTGTACATAGGGTCAATATGGGGCAGAACCGACTTGATAGCACCTAATGACAACTGCATCTCAAGGAAATGCTCCCACTACTGTAGAGCCTGGCAAGTCTCTAGTCATATGTCATCTGTCAGGCTGAATGCTTCTCTGGACTCACTTAGCTTCAGGGACTAATGAACCCAAGATCAACAGGTCAGGTGACTGGCTGCTGGTGCACACACTGTGAGGCTGAGGAATCCCAAAATTGGCAGGCAGTGCAGCAGATTGCTGCTTCAAGTCCCAAGAACCAGAAGTAAAATGATGACAAGCCAGATACAGGATCTAGTGAGCTAAAAAGTCAGTCCATATATATTGGGTGCAGGCCACATCCCTGAGGAAATTCCCCTTAAGGGCTGATTGGCTGACCATTTTAGGTCACATCATAGAAGTGATTACATTAGATCACAAATGATGGATAACTATATCATCACATAACTCAAATTATATTATTACAAAATTGCCAGACCACTGAGAATCGTGGTTTAGCCAAGCGGAC